AAAATGAGATAAATAATGGTTTTTTGTTGGAACTAATTAGGTGTTTTTGGCAATTTATGTATCGCGGATGGCTTGCTGCAGAGAAACAGACAGAGACATCATCGTGTGAACGATAGTGTCGCACGCCGCAGTGTCTCTGCTTCAAACGTCGGTTGGGCTCGATGTGTCATCCTCCGAGCTGAATAAATTATTTGAGTTTGAATCTTAGAGTTTCTGTACGTTTCCCGCATCCAGTTTCAACTCTTAGTAATCGAGATTATATTATGATTTTAGCACCAGTCTTTCTCAAATTGAGAACAAAATATTTTTTATTTGTCTTCGATGTTGAATCTGACTAGCTTATATATCTGACTTGCATAGAGGTTGATTTCTGTGAAAAATCGTTTTTAGGAGTTTTCGAATCAATTCAAAATTAGAAAAAAATTTTTTATTTCTTCTCGATTATAGTTGTTTCAAAATGCACGTTCCAATTTTTTAAACACCTAACTATGAGCAAAATGTTTTAGTTTCATGAAATATTCGAAAGATTTCATTTAATAAGAATAGATTTCTATGAAACTTTTGTTTCGGGGTGAAATTTTGTGTTCAGATGAACCAAAGTGTGACAAGACATATCATTTTAGAGATTTTTTACAGAAAATATTAACCCATAGGGTATAGTTGAAATATGCGTTTGATGTGACAAAGTTTTGGAAAAAAATATGTGAGAACAATCAATTAAAATCGATTGTAATCAATTAAAAGAGTTTTTGTATGAACTATAATCTTTTATAACTGATTATAAGAGATTATAATCTATTGGAAAATATCACAAACAAAATTGTTCCTAAATCTTCTAACCATCTAATTTTGGTAATTATGACCAATTATAATTGTCAAGAACTCAACATACTAATCCGTGACTTCTTAAGCCTAAACTTGGATTCGGGTTCTACAAGATTTTTTTTCTTATCGAATTAGCCGCGGACGATTTTTAAAAAAACACCGACTGTATTAGATCGAAAAGTAACTTTAGTCGACCCAGCTACTAAAGTGACAGAAAATTTGTTCTTTCCGATTGTTTCCGTTCAAAAGTTCAGCTAACGCTTTGTGATCAGTCTGTCCTAACGTGGCGAAAATTTGATGTAAAAACCGGAAAAAAAACGTGGAAAAACTCTTGACTTCATTAGCAAGTTGTCCTAATATCGCGCTGAGTGAATTCTACAATTTCGGTGGTAAGTCAATAAATCGATTTATCAGCAACACGAAAAACCAAAAATTAAACTACCTGACCAGTAAACCATAAATGTCAAAAAAATGTTAAGTGAACCATTTTTTTGACTAATACTTATAAGACGGCAACAAATTTGATTCAAATCAATCCAATCAATTTGAATATCAATAGCATCAGAAAAAAATGTGTTTTTGCGTCTTTTATTATTTTATTTATTGGATTAATATGACTCCAATACTCGTCAAAAATAAAACCTTTTTTACAAATTTTGTTGATTTTTCAGGGCTGGAACTGCAACTTTATGAGAGGGGTTGTTTCTTCCAAATTGACGCCTTCTGTTACTATTCAGCTCTTCCGCTTTTATTTGCAGAGCTAACAAACTACGATCGACTATTTGAAATGCCGGGTTGGTACGATAAAGCTACGGTGCGCCATAGATGTATTTTTCTATTCTAAATACACACTGAAATTAGCCATGAAACCAAATCTCAAATTAAAGGGATAATGATAGCCTTTAAACTTGCTCCTCAACAAGAAGATAGACAAATAATGATAGCTTAGCGTAGATTGACTGTAGATTGCCAATTTAGCCACTTGAGGTAATTAACGCTAAAAATATTTCGTGTTATGAACGCGTAAGTTTGATTGAATCCGTCTTACAAATACTTCCATAATGAATTAACTATAGCCGGTTGCTGAGCAAATAGCAGTTAAGGTTCCGACCATACTCTTGAAAAATACATAAGAAAATTTTTCCATGGATTTTTTTCAAAAGAGTGTTTTTTTTGTGCGTAGTGTGATAAAAAAATCTGAAGAAACCTGAAAATTAGGCATAAATCACAGTCACACTAAAGTAGGCAAATGGGGCAAATATTTTAATTGAAAAAAAAAACACGAGAAAAAAAAAGAAAAAAAAATGTTCTTAAATTTTTTTTTCAATGTTTTTGCAGAAGTTTTTTTGACATTTTAAAAATCTTTTTTCAAAAGATGGTGATGAAAAAACTTCAAAAAAATGTGCTAAAGCTAAGCTTAAGTTTTCTAAGCGTATCTTTCAAAAATAAGCCTGCTCGCTTCCTTTTATTGCTCGAAGTTTTGCTTTTTTGATCAAAACTAAAACTCGACACTGGGAAATCTTTTGCTCAAATCAGTGCTAAAAAGGACTTTAAGATAATTTATTACTCCTTTCGTCAAGATGATTATTTTTAGTACATGATTTAGGTTGAAAACCAAATCAGCCTGCAGGCTCGCTTCACTCGCTCGAAAACAGACGATAAATCTAAAATTTCGAGCCTGTCTTTTTCGTCACTGGGAAAAAATTTTTCATAAAATTTTATAAATCGTTTAAATCAAGAATGAAAGTGCTTTTAAATGATATATCACTCAGCCCAATCCGGTGATTATTTGGGGTACAATTATATAGAGTTCAACTTTGAGCGAATTTATAGAGCTTAAATTTTTAGTAATTACAATAATAACTTTTAAGAAAAAAAAACGTTTTAAGAGCAAATATATAGAGCTTAAAAGGCTATTTCATTGATACAAGTAGACAATCGGAACAACATTCAAAGCTTCGATATGACACGAGCAGTTTTGTGTTATTTTATCTACGTGAAATTCGCTCAAACAAATAGCGGAATTTTTCCGAAAATTGAGTTTTTTTTCGGTGTTTGACTTGTAAAGCTCAAATTTTTGAGTGAAGTGTATCAAACATAACATAAAGCACGCTCAAAAGCCGACTAGTTCGCGTTGAGAATTTTCGAAAAATCTTATTTTTAGTTAAGTTAAGTTCCGAGTTTACTAAAATAATCATTAAGAGTATCTTAAAAACTGTATAATTTCTATTTTTCAACCTTAATTAAAATCTCTGAGCACCAGGGTTCCATTTAGTTGGTATGCCAACGTGACGAAAAGTCAGTTTGCCTAAAACAGAGTATTCTTTGATTTAATTGGCTGCATCATCCTTTCATCCTTGCATCCAGCGCTTAAGCATTGCCGCCTGTGAAAAACTTTGTAGTCTTTCGCTGCTGGCTGTTTTGCTGCTCTAGTCTCACTTTTGTTACATTAGACAAATTTTGATAAATATGAAGTGTGACAAGTTCTATATTGCACCCTAGAATGAGTTTTTTATTCCCTTATTACCTTTGTTAGTTGTTAGTGCTCTAAAGTTATAATATAACCTCAGATGACAAAAAAAAACAATTTTTCCGCCTTTTCTGCAACTGAAATGTCGGCACGTTGGACTTTCGCTTCTATGTCGACCCAAAACAAATTACTCTATAGTTATTTTTTTATCACTGAATGCTTTTTTTACTAGAAAAACAGGGTTAGCGTTGAGCCCAAAAAAATGTGGTATGAAAAAAAATTTGCGACCATATCGAAAATTATTTTCGCGATTCGGACTAAATCAAAAAAAATTTGGCAAGTCCACATAAGTTGGTTATTGATCGACCGATGAAAATTACTACTCAGCGTTTTTTATTTTATTAACCTGGAAAAAGTTCGCTTTGTTTGAATTATTTAATTAAAATCAACCAAACTAAATAAACTTTAATAGGCAACAAATGTCCTTGGGCAACAATAGGCAACAAGTGATGGAAAATTTAAAAAGCAACATATGTCGTACCGTACAGGAGATATTATTGATTGAGTTATCCGCCCCTGCAAAAAGTTCGTCTCGTTTTAGTTTAGTTGAAATTAACAAAAATGTGGAGAAAACTTTAATAGGCAACAAATGTCGTACCACGATAATATTAATTAAAATATCCACACCTTGATTAAAGTTTATTATTTGGCCGAGTAGTTCGTTTTCATCTAACTTCATTGTAAGTAATATAAAAAAATAAAACTGATATAAATTTTTCGGTGGTAACGTCTCGAGTTGTCCTGCGTACAAATGCTGAGCAAAACTTACAAGTTGACAAGTACTTGCGGTTCGATATGGTTCAGGACCATTGTAGTCCAAAATTGAATCTCCAACAGACCCTCTTGACAATTAACTCGCAACCCCTCATCTCTATTTTCGTCTGCTCAAATGGGTTTATTTCTGTTTTGAACCGGATGATTTCTTCCAGTTGAACCAGACGTTTATTGTTGCAACTTGGATCGTCTCAATGCGAAAACCAGTGTCAAAGAGTCAAATACCATTGAAAAATCAGACCTGGGAAATCTGCATTGGGAAATCTACATCCAGCGAAAAAGGTCACTGGATGTACTATTTGCAATCATGGAACGCTGATTTTTCACCTAGCTATGCCATAATGGTGAGGCACGACGAAAGCACAATTCAGAATCGAATATACACAACTTTTTTCACGACCCAAACTACAATGGAACAGGAATAGCAAGGAACTATGTTGTCATATACTACGTGTACATCAAATATATACGGGACGCTGAAACTGGCCAATATGGAAGATACGGGTTCAATGGACCCAACAACAGTTAGTCATTTTGGTAAAACTTGAATTATTTTGATTATTTTTCCATTTTT